TCAAAGATTTCTCAAATCATTGATTGCAAATTTAATCTGAATCTTGAGTATATCTTGTTTTTACTGGGCTAGATTTTTATCACATCTTGTCTTTTCTGGCTAGATGTTGAATATATTTTGTCTTCTGCAGTGGCTTCATCTTCAAATCACATCTTGCATGTTGACTGGTTCTTGACAACATCTTGCTTTCATTAGCTGGATTTGAAGTAGGTATATCTTGTCCTTACTGATTGGATATTCATCACATCTTGCCTTTACTGATTCGTTCCTGACAACATTTTGCGTTTATTGCTCGGATCTTGATAGTATCTTATTTTCACTGGTTAGTTATTAGTCCTGATATCTTGATTGCACCTCAAGATCTTGATCAAAGTTTTCCTTCATCAGCTGGATTATAATATTTATTTTTAATAGTTCTCTTGGTTACGGTGTAGAGATCCTTTAAGACCCTATTACAAATTCTATCTGAAAATAACTCTAAAACTTTGTAAATCCCCCATGGAAGATCTCCCGGTATTTTTTTACTCATTCACCCCTTAAAAACCTCAAATCATTCCTTGACTCTTTTTTATAATCTTTTAAAGACGGGTGTGAACAACGCGTAATTCTTCTAGATTCTAGTTTTCACAAAAATCTTGTTTTTGCGTATCTGTATCCACCATATTAGATCCGACATTTTGAATTTTTTTTGGCCGACAGATTCATAGTATCAACTTGAAAACCTCCGTAAACTCCAGTTTCCACAAAAATTAATGACATTTTTAGATTTCTGTCCACTATATTAGATCCGCCTATATTGGATTTTGAATTTTGGAATTCAGATTTTAGATTCATAACACGACTCTACAAAAAAATTTCGTTCCTTGTCCTAAAGTTTATTTTATGATTTTCCGGTTAATTGTGCACAAAAACGACAAAAAATATCTTTTTACCCTGTAAAGTTTGCTTTTGTGACAGTTATAGTAATAATACTCATTTTCGAGTTTTTATAGGAATTTTAATTAATTCTAATACATTCAAAGATACCGCGATATAAAAGTGGGGTTTTTACATTCACACAGTGCCTCCAGATGGCACTCGAGTGATAAATAACAATCAGGTGTTTTGTACAAGTCTAGAAAAAGTTAAAATGTCGTCGAGAAAGTGTAAATATGAT